ATTATAGACATATGGGCATTTGTATATTTCCATATCATTAATCATGTGTATACATATTATACATACGAACACACCCTCTTTACCTCCCCAAACCTACTCAACCCTGAAAAAAGCAACAGGCAAGTCCCGCAGTTTCCGTACCCTGTGACTGTTTCCCCCGCCTGTTTCGCTAACCCGTTACACTCCAGGCTGTGTGACGTAAACACCAGGCACCTGGGGTGAGCAGCTGTTAGCTCCAGTCGCGCGTGACCCTGCAGACATTTCGGGCACCGACTGTTTCCATCTTTCGGCGGCAACAGGTAACTTTGTTTTTGAGTCCCTACGCTTCATGGAGTCAAAAACGAATTGATATTTCTAATTATTTAATGGATTTGGATTGAAGATCATTTTTTTTTCGAATTATTGATTCGACCCACTTTCTGAGTGGATTTCCCCCCAAGTATGTTGACATAGGTGAATCGGTTGATTTGGTGTGCATTGACTTGGCGTAATTTAATTTGGCAGGGGGCTTAGTAAACTGTTAGATCTAGTGACATAAGTCGATGATTCACCTACCAGCATTAAACTGTTCAAGGTTCATGTGCTTCTATGTTTTGGTGAGTAGTACCTGGTAGGAGCATGGATCTACCTATTTACTGAAAGTCTGAGGAAATACACACGGTACTGCGCACTGGATGAGCTACATTGTGTTACTGTACAGTTTTGTTTTATTTGTTTTTGTACCTCCTTTAAACATTATCATCATACTGAACCCAATATGTTCTATTAAAGGGAACTTTTATAAAAATAGGGCTGTAGTATCTATTTCTTGCAAAACCAGTTAATTAGACAGAGTTACGAAATAGGTGAAACTAAGATGTGACTCATGAATGACACTTCATCAACAACGCTCGTTCTATATTTGAAGGTCGGCAGTTTGCATTCCCCTAGTCTGCGCTAGGGGATATTGTAAAATGATAGGTTTAATTTTTTTTAAACAAAAAACCAACAACAGTTCCGTATAGCTTACAACATGTTGTTCATAAATTTGATGTGCTCAAGATCTTTTCTCTTCCTCTTTTGTCGAGTATTTAGAAATGGATTTCCTGTTTTATTCTCCTGTGGACCACATGTATATCATTTAGGGATTCAGTTTAGACAGTACCTGTCAGGACCGACTGAGTTAGACACCATTTTCTTTAAAAAAGACGGGTAATAATATTATAATAATATACTGGATAAAGTGACTGTCTTTTATTGCTTGTGAACCGAAATTGTGGGTCTTTTTTGGTTGCGTTGATGTTTTATTTTATTGGTTGGATTTTTTTTTCGTCAACGATGGAGCGATTACACCACACACGCTGATCGAGTTTCTAGACGGTGAGTATTGGAAGTTCATCAAATTCAAAAAGGAAATGCTATAATTGTTTTTTCTATCTACGGGTCCTATATCTGCGTGTGTGTGTGTGTGTGTGTGTGTGTGTGTGTGTGTGTG